GTGTGCGATTTTTAGAGAAGAGTAGTTGAAGTTTTTTTTAGTTTATCGTTTGGTTGTTGTCGTTTGTTAGAGTAAGTGTCTGTTTGGATTTCCCGTTTCGCTTCCGAATACCTAACTTATATTGAAGTTCGTTTTGGTTCAATTCTTACAAGCGGGACTGTTATGTAAGTGCTAATGTTCCTTTCCTTGTGCTTTTAAATAGTTTTTTTGTGAGTTGGTTTGAGTTTTTAGCTAGCTATGCATCTTGCCTTTATATCGGAATGTTTGGAATGTTGGTTTGTCTATTCGCATTTAGCTTAGCTTCTTCCTTATAAATTCATATTTCAGTTTACGATAAGTACTTGGATACCACGACTACGTTAAATAAAACGATTCAAGGCTTGTCCGTAATCAATCAATCAATCAATCAATCAATCAATCAATCAATCAATCAAAGTTTATTGTCTAACGTGAGGCATGGTTGCCCAATTGCCCGAGCCAGAGGCTCATGTATAAAACGGTAGACTATAAATTAACTATAATTAAAGGTATATTATTAGAAGTACTTAAAACTTTATAGGTAAAAATATATAAGTTTAGAGTACGAGTGATAATTGTAAATTGAACCTCCGAATCGGGTTTCTTTCGTATGACGAGGCATTATCGATAAGCTTGAACGTCAGTCGACTGATTTCCCGTTGTAGAGCGTAAGTTGCCTAGTTCTGTGAGTACCTCCAAAAACGAAAAGGAGACAGAGGAAAACGAGAGAGTTTTGGTATGTTTTGTTGACTTATCTAATCATGACGAGCTTTGTACGACTTTTAATTTCTTCACCCCTACCGATTTTGCGCTATCATAGCGCAAAGTCAGGAGGGGTCCAATTTTTCTTCACGTAGCATCTCTGCGGGGAAAAAATTTAATGAAGGATTTTCACAAGAAAGGTGTCGAGAAGTGAGGTTCGGCACATGGCTATCTATCAACAGATTTAATTTGACACGTCAGTCTTGACAACATTACGATCGAAGTAAGTATCGAGTGCGCTCTGCGCATCACAAAATGTAGAAAATGCATCTTTTCAATGTAAACAAAAATTACGAAACAGACGCCCATATTGAAGTGTGCGTCGTTTCCTTTATGTTGAGCCAAGCAGGAGCACTTTTAGTAAAGAAAACTTTGAGAAAAAGTAAGAATTATAAGCACGAACCTATGAGAGAATTATTAGCTAGTTCGAACATAAGAGTTCTCAAAGCCATTAATCAATCGATCGATGATACAGCGCGCGATAGTTGCTGTTCTTATCAGAGTAGGAAAACAGTAACTTTGGCACTTAGCAGAGCGTCTTCTTTCGTGGTTCCTGCTTCTACATTCAACAGTTACTTAAAGCCAGCTGAAAGATGCTACAAATTAACTTGCGAGATGGTCAATGTGGCAAAAAAATTAATTTGAAATTTTTTCACCCAGTAAAAAGGTTCAGCTATTCCTAAACTGGAAAAATATATATATTTTCTAAAACTGGCGTCTTGGCTGGATTGAGGTGTACTGCATTCTGAAGTATTAAGGATAAGGCTTCCATCTCTTATTTTGATAAATATTATTCGCCATAATTCCCAGACTAAAAATGTCACTAGCGACACTTAGTCCATGTTGTTCCTCTCTCAACGAGTTCTCCTTCATCGACGTGCTTCTGATTAAGGAACTCTGCCTCTGTATTTATTCGCCTGCGGCGATCTGCGATCTGCGATCTTTTCTTTCTATCTTTTCGTCTTTGCTTTTGCTTCTTTATTTGCTCTTTGTGAATTAGCCTCTCCTGCTCGTCGCTTTCGTCTTCTTAAAGAAATCGACAACGCACAAATAACTCGAAGTCGAACGCAACGCAAAGTCGCTAAACACTCGGAAAGTGACTCCTCTTTATTCAGGTATTTCATTGAGTCAACTTAACTGTAGAAAAATGCTGCTTTTGTGCTCTTTTTAAAGAGCACGTTATAACCTTAGAGATCGCTAAATTGCTGTGGAAACTTGACTGCGAAAGATAATCACTATTTAGATCTGGGTAGTGACCTGGAATTAATGGTAAATCTCATTACCTACCGCCGGCTTCAATACACATATCCCTTGTCGTAGCTTTCATATAATGAATCTCCGGTTTGAAACACACGCGTTTGACACTCGTGCCGGAAAGTAAGTTCTTCCGCTCCAAGAACGTGAATGGCTGGACGCGAAAACGGTGCTCATTAACTATGGCAGAAATCTACGTTACAAATTGCCAATTAAGCGCGAAACACATGACAACAATAAGGGCGTTAGAAAAGCATTACAACCAAAAGCATCCTTGTTGTGATACACCACAGGGTATCGTCTTTCCTAACTTGGGAAGTAAGCAGGCGCCAGTAGAGAAGCCGCAACTTGTAACTGGAATGGGTATACTTGAAAAGGCTGGCAGAATTCATGGTGCGTTTAAACTCTGCACATAACCCTGGAGTTCCTGGTCAGTACTAAAAAAACAAACTTGGATCAAACTCTTCAGCCTATTCGTAATCGTACCATTTATCTTTCTCCATAGGTTCTCAACAGTTCCACGTGTTATACGAGCTTAATTATTTCGTTGGGTCTTTGATCAATATTACTTCAGACAGCCGCTTTTTATCAGTGTAGCAAAGCAAGCAATGTTACAAGTTCGAAGGCTTTGCTCGAACGAAGTGCATCAGCGTCTGGAAAGTAATTTCCCCCGTAGGGGTTTTTTAACACAGTTTCAAGGCACGGCTGTATTGACAACGGCTCACATGCTCGCGCCCAGTATTGAAAATTGGAACAAAAATGGCCACTTGTCTTGATCCTCTATTCCGTATATTTTTACAAACTTTAAGAGAACTAGAACCCCCGAAAGCAGTTATTTGCAATGGTTGCAAGAGTAAGACTTGTGGCCCTCACTATGCCTTTCCATGTCATGTACTTTTTGTTACTAGGGAACGAACAACACTGGTGTATGTTTTGAGACCGAAAGAAGATCAAATAGCTTAATTCAAATGGCGACTGAAGTTATATACGCCCAGGAAATACAAGTCAGGGTTACAAGTCGTCCTGAGGCCATCTTGAAGCACTTCAGTGAGACGAGCGTTACTTTTAGTGTTTCCTTTAAATAATTTTATCATAACATCATGAAATTTTATTGTATTTTGTACGTCTCTGTGGACTTGACTAATACTTTAAAATTCTTTCGCAGCAAAATGATGCCACTTCACCTTTACAAATGTAAGACTTGACTTTTTTT